TAATTTACCCATCAATAGGCCTTGAAAAAATCTTTGACTCAGACCTTTTAGATTTCTGCAGAATTTTGAGCACAGCGTTCCATCCATTTAATTACTTATGCAATTGTGTGCAAATATATATTTATTCAGTTTTTATATTAATGTCATTAATAATATTGATCAACTGTTTAGATGATTTACGCACAATGCAACTTGTAAAGTTTACCAAAAGTATACCAAAGTTTACCAAACACACACATACACACATACATACATACATACAAACATACATACATACACACATACAGTTGAAGTTTGAATTATTAGCCCTCCTTTGAAATGTATTTCTTTTTAAATATTTCCCAAATGATGTTTAACAGAGCAAGTACATTTTCACAGTATGTCTAATAATATTTTTTCTTCTGGAGAAAGTGTTATTTGATTTATTAAGGTTAGAATAAAAGCAGTTTTTATTTTTTTAAACATAATTTTGGGACAAAATTATTAGCCCCTTTAAGCTAATTTTTTTTTCGATAGTCTACAGAACAAACCATCATTATACAATAACTTGCCTAAATACCCTAACATGCTCAATTCACCTTATTAACCTAGTTAAGCCTTTAAATGTCACTTTAAGCTGTACAGAAGTGTCTTGAAAAATATCAAGTAAAATATTATTTACTGTCATCATGACAAAGATCAAATAAATCAGTTATTAGAAATAGGTTTCTAAAACTATTATGCTTAGAAATGTGCTGAAACAATCTTCCCTTCATAAAACAGAAATTGGGGAAAAAAATAAACAGGGGTGTTAATAAGTCAGGGGGGCTAATAATTCTGACTTCAACTGTATATATATATATATATATATATATATATATATATATATATATATATATATATATATATATATATATATATATATATATATATATATATATATATATATATATATATATATATAATTGTATTAGTCTTTATAGAACAAACCACTGTTGTCCAATGAATTGCCTAATTATTCTAACTTGCCTAGTCAACCTAATTATCATAGTAGTGTCTTTAAGCACTTTCAGCTGAATACTAGTATCTTGTAAAATAGTTTTTTAAACTTAAGTTTAAAAACGTGATGAAAAAAATCTCATTAAATCACAAGAGGGCTAATAATTTTGACCATGTTTGTATGTATGTTTAGGAATAGCTTAAACACATCATTTGATTTCCTTTTTGTACCAAAATTCATCAGAAAATTAAGTATTTCAAAATTAAGTTTTTAAATGACTCTTATGTCTAATTTTGTTATTTAGGGTTATAAAAACACTACAGCTTGTCCCCACTTTGGGAAAAGTCACCCTATATCTTGTTATTTTTTAATATGTTTTATTTATATATACTTAATAGCCTAAACAATAACAGATTGTCATGTTTTCTTTTTTGTCTTCTTTTCAATTTAGGAATTCAAATACAAGGCAGCAGCAGGTGGAGAAAAATCCGTGCTTTCTTCAAGAGAGTGTGGAAGGCCATAAAGAAACCTTTCCTCTGCTGCAGACAGATAAGTGTGGAACCACAAACACCACAGGAGAATCCACAAACAACTAATCCAGACCTAGAGACTGATTCAGATACAGAGAATGTCGCTGGACCTTCTTGGATCTGGAACTCTGTTGGTCCAGATTTAGAGCCTGTCCCTGGAGTATCTGGTCTCTGTAACTCTGTTGATCCAGATTTAGAGCCTGTCCCTGGAGTGTCTGGTCTCTGTAACTCTGTTGATCCAGATCCAAAACCTGTCTCTGGAGTGTTTGGGCTTCAGAACACTGTTGATTCAGATTTAGAGCCTGTCTCTAAAGTGGCTGGTCTATGGAACACTGTTGATCCAGATCCAGTGCCTGTCCCTAGAGTGTCTGGTCTCCAAAACAATGTTGATCCAGTGCCTGTACTTGGGGTGTCTGATTTAAAGAACTCTGTTGATCCAGAGCCTGTTCCTGAAGTGCCTGGTCCTCAGAACACTGTTGATCCAGTTCCAGAGCCTGTCCCTGAAGTGCCTGGTCCTCGGAACACTGTTGATCTAGACCCAGAACCTGTTCCTGAAGTGACTGGTCCTCGGAACACTGTTGATCCAGATCCAGAGCCTGTTCCTGAAGTGCCTGGTCCTCGGAACGCTGTTGATCCAGATCCAGAGCCTGTCCCTGAAGTGCCTGGTCCTCGGAACACTGTTGATCTAGATCCAGAACCTGTTCCTGAAGTGACTGGTCCTCGGAACACTGTTGATCCAGATCCAGAAGCTGTTCCTGAAGTGCCTGGTCCTCGGGACACTGTTGATCCAGATCCAGAGCCTGTCCCTGAAGTGCCTGGTCCTCGGAACACTGTTGATCTAGATCCAGAGCTTGTCTCTATAGTGCCTGGTCCTCAGAACACTGTTGATCTAGATCCAGAACCTGTTCCTGAAGTGCCTGGTCCTCGGAACACTGTTGATCTAGATCCAGAGCCTGTATCTAAAGTGCCTTGTTCTCAGAACACTGTTGATCTAGATCCAGAACCTGTTCCTGAAGTGCCTGGTCCTCGGGACACTGTTGATCCAGATCCAGAGCCTGTCCCTGAAGTGCCTGGTCCTCGGAACACTGTTGATCTAGATCCAGAGCTTGTCTCTAAAGTGCCTGGTCCTCAGAACACTGTTGATCTAGATCCAGAACCTGTTCCTGAAGTGCCTGGTCCTCGGGACACTGTTGATCCAGATCCAGAGCCTGTCCCTGAAGTGCCTGGTCCTCGGAACACTGTTGATCTAGATCCAGAGCTTGTCTCTAAAGTGCCTGGTCCTCAGAACACTGTTGGTCCAGATTCAGAGCCTGTCTCTTGGCTGTCTTGGCTTTGGAACAATGTGCGTCCAGTGACACCGTTTGTCCTTGGACTGTTCCGTCTCTGGTACACTTTAAATCCAGACCCAGAGCCGTTTTTTAGAGCAACTGGGGTCCAGAACCTGGCTGAGCCAGATCCAGAACCTATTTCTGAAGTGTCTGGTCTCAGGAACACTGTTGATTCAGATCCAGAGCCTGCACTTGGACTGTATCGGTTTTGGTACACTTTTGTTCCTGAGCTAGAGTTTGCCCTTGGACCGCTTCATCTCAGAGCCAATTTAAATCCAGATCCAGACCCTGTTGCTGGACCATCTGTGGTTCAGAACATGGTTGATCAGGAACCAGAGCCTGTGCCTGGACCATCTAGTCTCCAAGACACGTCCAATGCAAGGTCCTCATCTGCCTTAGGAGCCCCTAATTTTGAGCCAAATACTGGTGAGTGTGCTAACAGCACTCTGAAATCACATACAAAACATAAATGCAGAATCAAATTCATGAAATTTTGTTTATTTAATTTGATGGAAACAGTAATATTATAGATGCTACTGTAACATACTTGTTAATGTAAGGCAGTTGTTCTCAACTTCGGGCCTCTGGCCACCCTGCACTGCACATTTTGTAAGTCTTCCTTACCTAACACACCTGATTCTGATCATCAGCTCATTAGCTTATCCTTGTGTGTTAAATAACAAAGACATCCAAAATGTGTGTGTGGGGGTCCGAGAGTCAAAATTCGAGAACAACTGATGTAAGGTCAGTATGAGAGAATAACCTCTTCTTCTTCTTCTTTTTCAGGATCTTTGATTGGTCTCTACGGCTTTGGAGAAACGATAGGAGGTGGGAGCTTCGGCTTAACATTCAAAGCAGTTCGTAAATCTGATGGCAAGGAGGTAAAAATCTCTTACTGTTCAATTGGCTTCTTATGTAACCTGTTCACTTGATCCAAACTTGTATATTTATTAAACAAATTACAGATTGAATAATGTGAAAACAATAATTATTGTGTTTTCTTTTTTTAGGTTGCCATCAAGAAGATTCTGAAGAGAAACAATCCACGTTACATCTCTGTTGTAAGTTGGCAAAACTTCACTCATCATTTAATTCTTTAATGGTTTGGACACATTTATGGTTGCATAGTTCAATTTCAAAAGTCAAAAAGCAGCCATATGAATCTGTATGAAAACTTCTCTCATGTTCAAGCTGAAGAAAATTATTTATGGTGACTTTAGGATGAGCTGTGCTTCATGCTGAAATGTGATTAATGTGAACATTTACTGTATTATGTAGCAGCACTGTAAGAGAAAAGAGCTGGAAAACCTTGTTGATCATATACAAAAGTACTAAAGCAGGGTAAAATACATGTAAAGGATAAGTTTGCCCAAGCATTAAATCATTGTTTACTCACGCTGTGATTCCAATCCTCTGAGACTTTTGTTCCTCATCAGAACACAAAAGATATTTCAGATTTAAGAGCTTTCTCTTCTGCTATAGACGGCAAGCGTCCTGAGAAGCTCAAATTCAGAAAAGAAGCCAAAACCATTGTCTGAACAGTTCATGTGACTTCAGTGGTTCCACTACAATCATACAAAGCTGCTGAAACACCTTTGTCTGCGCCAAATCTGTAAAAACAAATTAGTTTGCCAATGTTTTCTCTCCTGCATCAGGTCAGGGTACATGTTTTCTACAGGCAGTATGATGTTTTGTCAGAGTCATATTACCTGTAGTAAATGCACACCCCAGTCTGATGTAGAAGACTCTGGCAAAGTCAGTTGTTTTTACAGTTCTTATTTTAGTGTTCTTGGAGCATCGTATGATAACAGTTGAACCACTGAAGACACTCCTTGTCTCCTTTTCTGGACTTTGAGCACCTCAGGAACGTTCCTGTGTGTGAAGCGTGAGGGAGCTCTCAGATAAAATGCCTTAATTTGTGTTCTGAAAGACGAATGAACGTTTCAGGGGGTTGAAATGACATGAAGGAAAGTAAATAATAACAGTATTTTAATTTTCGGGTGAACTAATCATTAAAATAGTACCAATTTTTCCTCAGATGTACAACTACTAACCCTTGTTTTCTTTTTCTCTGCAGCCTGGTTGTTCCAGACCTGTGTGTGAAGAAGCAGCGTATATGCTAATACTGAAACATCCTTCAGCAAGCATGCATGTGATAGAAATGTATGAGTGGTTTGATCAAGCTGGATTCATTTCACTCGTCATGGAGTACCCCCAACCTTGCGTATCTCTGCGGGACTATATATACATGCATGACAAACTGTCAGAAGGGGTTGCACGTTCCCTGCTGCACCAGTTAGTCCAGGCAATGCAGCACTGCATTGACCATGATGTTTCCCACAACGACATGCATCCTGACAACATCCTAGTCAACACAACGAAGGTGGAGCTCAAGCTGATTGACTTCGGTTGTGCTACCAAAATCAGAGCAGAAGATTATCAAGCTGTCGTCTTTTCAAGCATCTGGAACGTAGGCTACATGCTGTATTTCATGGTGCATGGAAGACAACTAGTGAACAGAATTTCTGGAAGGAAGCGCCACCTTTTGTTTGGTCCCAGTGTATCCAGTGGTAAGTGAAAAGACAAATGTACATGCCAAAACCTCAACCTGTTGTAGTCTCATGACAAGACAGGAAGAGCTTAGCATTGCTGATCCTAGGAAATGTTTGACTTTATTAAGGAATCTAACGACACCATGTATAATAGTTAATGATTGAGCAACTTCAGTCCTGGGGTGCCACTGTCCTACAGAGTTTACCTTTAAATTTAATCCTCAAATGATCTTGTCATTGACTGTATTCAAAATCACCCCTATACCCTCATCTACTACTCCTTACGTTAGTCTAGTAAATTAGTGTATTTAAATGAGGGAATGTAAACAAATAAGTCAATTGAAGCAGTTTTGTTTGTGCTTTTCTGGTTGATAAACCCCTCAATTGGATTGGATTCTGCTTGGTTAGACCCACGTTATTTATCACAACAAGCTGTATGCTAGTATTGAAACACTGTAGTTTTATTTATCATGTATAGGAATGTTATTTTTACAATTAAATAAATGTATTCATTAATTCATTTAAGGGTACAGGGCTGCGATTTCAGCCATTGGTTAACTTGCTTCACAAGTGTTTGATTAGAGTTTAAGCAAAACTCTGCAGGACACAGACCCTCCAGGACTCTCCAGTAGCCTTTTTTAATAACAAATTTCAGAAGATATCTTTATAAATGTCAGCTTTAATGTCTTATACAGTCTTGAATAACTATCTCTTTCTCCTTGTACAGACTGCTGGGATCTGATAGAAAAGTGCATGGATAAAAAATTGTCAACGTTGGAGGAAGTCTTACAGCACCAGTGGATGAAGAAGCAGGAGATGGAGCAGGGATGAAGGTAAATACAACTGATCCAGTAGGCAACAACATTTGTAATACTGGCACACACAAAGCTGATGGTGTCACATTAGCTTTGGCGCTTTTATTAATCATCTTCGCTAATGTGTAACATATTTTAGTGCACTTAGCAATTACTAAACACTAAACATTTTTAGCAATACAGTTAATGTAAAAGAAACATATATTTGAATATTCAAAGATGTTAAAAAAAATGTGACAATGAAAGCATTTAAAATGATACATTTTCTGAAAATCTGTACATACACACAGGCATGAGGGTGTTTTACTAAAACTGTACTCAAAACCCCTAGTTTTCACGATTGTTTTTGTGATGAAAATGTCTAATTTTGTGGTGATAGTTCTTGAAAATTTTGCGATTAATATATATCTTCATGACACAAGTCGTTAAAATAAAGCTTTTGTCAAGACAAGATCTGAAACGGCAGGGGTTACGCCAAAGGAAGGTTGCATAACTCTTTATTTTTTACAGACAATCTTACTTTCTCTTGCTCACTCCCAGCGGTATCTGACATCATTTATCTCACTCAGAACATGCGTTACCTTACCGTATTAAACCTAAAACACATCAATGGCAGTGAAGCGTTTTCTCTCATCAATGGCAAGGGAAAATCATTATCAATTTGGCACTTATCATAAAAGCAGCCATACATGTAATGCAAAAATAATCTCATTCAATTGGGTCAGGTCTAGCGGCCGTCATCCACAAACAATCATCATTGTAAGCTGCTTCCTTTTCTGTCTGTTCCACTGCTCTGTTTGTTAGATGTTAGATGTTGTTGGTCCCAATTCGCGTCGTGTCATTCGCTCGATTTGCTGCTTCTGCTCTCCATACGTGCTGCTCACGCAGTGCTTTCGCTTGCGGTGTAAAACAGGCATTAGGCCCCATTCACACGAGGCGTCAGCTTCAACGCTTCCCATTCACTGTGAATCGCTGCGTTGAGTTCCGATCATCTCCATATGCAGAAAATTCGGATCTGAATTGAGCTGCGGATCCATTGAAATATTTAAACT